TTTTTTACATGTTCTTATCTGTGCTTATCTTAGGGGCTTCCAACAGTGTAGATAAAATAACAACGAAGCATATACTATACAAATGTAGCACAATTTAAAGACTATTGTACTGTATTGCTACATATATGCAATAGATAAAAGACAAAGCTTACATAGAACAAATGTTTATATGTGAAAAAACAGAAATGTGTTATTATTATTAGATAAATCTAAACTAGTTAATCTCATAAAAAAAACAGATTATAATAAATAAAGTCCACCAAAGTTTAATGTGCTCTTAAATTTAGATAAGCTTAAAGAAAGAGGATTATTTTGTAAGAAGAACACATTTTAATTAATTAAAATTTATTATTTTTATTTTTAATAATTATTAATATATTAAAGACTGAGTTTTTTCCTTTACCAAATATTTATATAGTGCATTTTTATAGCTGTGGTTCCTACAACAACTGGAGGAAGAACCTGAGAGACAACCTGCGGCAAACAGAGGCCCAAAAATGCTGCACAGAACAACAAGAATGACTTTACAGGTGAACTAACCAACAATCATCAGCAACTTTGACCAACATTTCCAAATCGAGTTTCCTGAACAAACATCACCCAGAAAAAGACAGAGATAAAATAGTTTGGTTTTTTTGCTCAAATGAAACAAAAATACACTTTTATTACTTGCAGCTCATTAAAGTCTGTATCTGCAACAGATATTCTTTTGTAGCAGACCCACAAACCCTTTGTTAATCCTCATGTTGTGTTCATTTCCTGGTTAAACAAGTTTGTGTTCCGGGTCAAAAAGACTCATCATCGTGTTTTGGAGGGAATGAAGCGACTCACTGAACCAGAGCAAGAAGAGCCGAGTCCCATACTGCTCACCCCTGTCCTGTCCAAAGAGGTCGAGGATTTAAGGAAGCATAAACAGGGATTATGTTATCTGGCTCCGACCTCTGTCCACATCAGTTCAATTATATAGCTTCTGATAAATATGTACCCAGTGTATCTTTCATGTTCATGTTTTGGTATTTAAGAAATATCTTAACGTTATAGATAAAATATAGAAACAAATATTTTAATCAGATTATCTGAATGTAGCCAAGCATCTGAGACACTTTTCCTCTGATCGTGCTGATTGCACATCTGTATCAGTGTTTGTTCTTTGCACAAGGTCGTCTTCCTGTGCCCACACAACAAAGTCACGCCACTGCATGAGCAGTTGTCGTTGAACTGTCCAGTGACATGAATTGCTCTTCTTTAGGAGTAAGGAACCAGATTCTATCTATGCTCATATTTGCAGTCATTAACATTTTGTACATTGTGGCCTTTGAATCTGCAAAAAAACCAAATTGGGGATATTTGTTGGGATCAAAACCAACACCACCAAGAAATGCAGGAAGTCAGGGGGCAGTGGGGTGAGATAGCAGGCTAATTAGGATAATTAGCCTGCTATACTCAGCTGCTGTTGCAGGCTCCATCTCAGCACCTCCAAAAAGTGACCTAAAGATTGCTTAAACATAAAAGATAAGTTGTTAAGGGTTATGAATTAGCTGCTGTGCTGGACAATCCAGTGGGCGGTCGACTCCCTTCACTATCACCTTCTGGGATGTCCAT